TCACTGTAACATGAGAAGTGTGCCAAGGGTTTGGGCCCCATGAGTTATTTCTGTGGCCAGCAAGTTGAAATATTCAAGTGAAGCCCCCCAGTGTCATGAAATGCTCCCAGAAGGAACTGGCAGTGAGCTGGATGACCTCTTGGTTAAGTCTGCAATGAGATGTTACTTTGTCACATACACTGGGAATCTGTGGAGTATGTTTAAAGTAAACCTTTTACAGGTAGAACTGGTTTATTTGATCTCTATTTTTGAAACATAGATCTGAGCAACAAAAAACTCAAGATATCACATTAGTTGTTGACAAACCAATTCAAAGTTTGTTTTTAGGTGGGCTTGTATTTCAAATAAAGCATATTTGTATCGCTGCAATGATATTCTATTAAAATATCCTAGGTGCTCAGAAAACAAGCAATATTGAACATCAGACAATTATAAAAAACGCTTAAAATCAAAACAGAAATTGTATAGAAATTGACTGAATTATATAGATAAATAGATATAGGTGGCCTATTCTCACACAACTGTTTTTTCTGTTTCAGTTTGACTGCAAAAATGTTAACTTCTGACTTTTTTGGGCCGCGTGTAGCTGCACTTTGATTTACTGGTGCCCTGTCCAGGCTGTACTCTGTTTCTTATCCTAAATCGGCCGACATAATTGGGACAGTGAAATAGAAACATCCACATTTGAGCAATGGCAACCACCGCTTGTTCAAAATACCGGTACTCAGAATATTTTAAGATGAAGGTGTCATTAGGAGAATAACATGGGTTATTAAAAACTTCCCAGCAAAGTGCTACATCACATGGTTGTGTATGCAGTTTATGTATCACCACACTCGTTTGTTTTGACCATATCTGTGACCTTTTGGTTAACAGGGTGCTGTGACTTTCACTGAGTGCAACTTAACTATGGCTTTCAATGAGATATCCGAGCACCTTTCCCTTTCTTGAAGGTAATAGCTTGACAAAAATAAAATAAAGAAAAACTATTGAGCCTAAGAGTGTTTTTGTAGTTAATATAATAGTTCTGTGCATTTTTTGCACTTTTCTTTTCATTGTTTTGCCATTCTTTTTGGCACTATTTCATGAGCTGTGTTTTTCCTGTATAAAAAAAAGTGATGTGATCTGCTGAGATTTTAATATATGGTGCAAGAGTAAACATTTACTTGTTTCCCAGCCTTTAATGAGCCTAAGCACCCATTATATGATTGTAAAAATAAAAAAGGTACACTAAAAAACAAAAGAAATGTCACAAAAATATATGTACTGAAATAATAATGATCACCTATCAGTTTATTCACAAATTGACTTCGGGTGAAATCTTGGCCTATTTGACTGAACGCAAATCTGATGTACTTGCAGGAAGCCGTGACTTACTGTCTGAATGGAAACTGGTAGACAGGTTTATTGTAACTTGACCTTCTGACATCAAATGAGCGGCATGTGCATGACTGCTTAGCATATCCTCCTCACAGTCAGAGGTCGTAGGTTTGAATCTGGGCTCCAGCCTTCCAGTGTGGAGTTTGCATGTTCCTCCCACATTCCCAATACATGCATAGTAGATTTATTGAAGACTCTAAATTGCCTGTAAGTGTGAATAATTGTTTGTATGTTCCTTGCCTTTTGCCTGAAGCCAACTGGTATAGGCTCCAGCGCACTTGGTGAGGGCGGGTAAGCGGTACAGATAATTGATGGATGAATGGATGGACATCTTAATGGTGTCATGGTTCTGTTTTGTTTTGTCTCCAGCAGGTGGCAGTGGAGGGTTCTTTCCGGGTTCCGCACCTGTTCCTCATCATATTATTATCTGTCACCTGTTTTAAGAGACTGTCAAGCCATTGCCAGTTGTCGGAATATTCGCCTTGCTCCCGTCTCACGCTCAAATGCTGATTTTCTACACTTTCAGCGCTCTCTATTTTGTCCATAGACCTGTCGTATTCTGATTTGTTTTTCTTATCTTTGGTTAGTTTTTGAAATTGCTATCCTTGGTGTGTTTGTGTTTTTCTCATTGATTGGCTTTGCCATGTCGTTTTTGGGCAAGTGATTTTGTGTTACTATTTCTCTTGACTTTTGCAAGCTCGTTTTGTTAGTCGTGTTATTTCACTCCGGGTTGCTCCCAGCGATTTCTGTTGTACTTTGCTCGTCTCGCAACCAGTTTTGTTACAATAAATTATTTTTTCTATTCGATCCACTCCTGGTTTGCATTTTTGGGGATCCGCTTCGATTCTGACTTGGTCCGGAATGAAAACAAACGAAAGATAATTTCATTGTCACTATATCAAGCTGGCAACGATGCATACATATGGAATAAATAAAAAGAGCTGGGCATTCTGTCTGACTGAGGGAGGTTTGTCACTCTTTCCTCCAGTATTTCCGTCCCTTGTTGGCGAAAGCCAATCGGCGTCAAAAATCTAATGTCCACTTCACACACAGGTGCTGCACAAGCCGTCACGCAGCCAAATAAATGTGTAAAATTAAATATAACACACACACACAGCAAGGTGATTGGTGAAATAAAAACAATATGGGACACATGCCGATGAGGTTTGTGGCACTGAAAGGTAGAGAACACTTATTTTTTTCTGTATTTGACTGCGTGACAGGTGTGCGGCACCTGCGTGTGATGTAGTACAGGTAAGTCCATTCTCTTTTGGCTGTTGCCAACGACTCAAATGCACTGGGGCGGCCTGAAATACTAATGGCAACTCACTGACGGACTCACCGGACTGACGATGCCTAACTCTGCAAATAAATAATTTATGGACAAATGAACTCAGATAATTTCTTGCGGCTCTCCCACAGCACATTGGAGCATGCCACAGCAACCTGATTTCAGTTTCGAGAACAGCTCTACCTAGTGTTTTGTGATATGAATAGTCATTTTGTGTGCTTAAATGACAGCTGTGAGCATCTGTATTCCATCTGGGCCAACTGTGGTGAATATCTGTCATAAACAAGTTGTGCACATCTTTTTATGGTGTAATATGTTCTTGTAAGAAAATTTCCTATTTCTGCATACAATATTTCACCAGAGGCTTCCTGATCGTATGGTGTGATGAAACCAAGAGTGATAGAGTTTGGCCACAAATTCAACTGGTAATACGACAACAAAGCCAAGATAAGACTGCCACCACCATGCTTTAATTTGTGTATGATGTCGTTCAAGAGATGACCCGTGTTCTGTTGGCATATAGTTTTTATGTCAAAATGGTCTGTGCTTTGCCAAAGTATTCAGCTCATAATGTGTCCTTTTATGGAACCAGTTCATTGTGCAATTTCAGTATATAATATGTGTGAAATTTCCGATTGACGGCACAGTGACCAACTGATTAGCACATCTGGCTCACTGTTCAGAGGTTATAGGTACGTATCTCAGCTCCTGCCTTCTTGTGTCAAGTTTGCATGTTGTCCCAGTGCTCGTGTTTTTTTTCGTCTTGGTACTCCAGTTCCCTCCCACATTACAAAACCATAAATATTGGGTCTTCACACCTTAAGGACAATTTAGAGTCTAAATTGTCCTTAAGGTGTGAATGTGAGTATGAAAGGATGTTTGTCCAATCCAGGATGTATGTCTCTTGCCTGAGGTCAACTGGGAGATTGGCTTGAGCACACCCACTCACAAAGATAAACGATATGTGAAATGAAAGGATCTGAGACCTACTGAGAGAGAGAGAGAAAGAGAGAGAGAGAGAGAGAGAGAGAGAGAGAGAGAGAGAGAGAGACCCAGGATTGTTTGACAGTCATCTGTGATTGGAGTATTGCGCCGACTGGATGAAAGCTAGTTTTTGAAACACATCTCTCAGTGGATGCTAAGATGAACATTACTGGAGTATGTCACTGAAAGCCCACCTGAGGAAATAGCTCTAACCACAAGGGTACCCAAAAATAAGAATAGTTTTTCTTTCTTTTTTAACAATTTAAACATAAAAACATGGTTTAATGGGGGAACCCAAATCCAATTCTGCTAAGAGCCCCATGAGGCTGAGATGAATTTGCACATTAGTAGCAAAAACATCTGTAAAAACTCATTCAAAAAGTATCTTCACTCAAAGGCCGCTCAGTTTCATCACACTTGAAAGTACAGTACCATGTCTCCTGATAAATAATTCAGGTTGCTCTTTGATTGAAGTACCACTTCTAACTACCACTCTCTGTTAAAACAAAAACAACCGCCTTTATTTGTACACAAACAAACCTGATGTGGAATTATTTACATTCTAAATAGGAGTACTTTTCCAGGGTAGGCATCTATTGAAGGGTCGTCAAGAGTCAGACTCTGTTGTCTTTATGTAGTTATAGCTAAAAAGTCAACATATTAGGAGATCGGATTAAATTCTTAAAGTGCACCTACAATTCAACATTATCACCAGCACACCCAATGACCTAGTCAAGGAATGCACTGCACATGGTAGCTAAAGTTGGAGAATCTGAGACTAAAGTTGTTGTAAAGTGGGACATGTTTGTCCGCATGACTTAGATGTCCATTCCAAGGCTGTCCCCATTTTGACCATTTACATTTAATAACTATTTAATTGAGAGAAAACCCTTTTATACTTGACTTTGTTTCATAATTTCTATCTATCTATCTATCTATCTATCTATCTATCTATCTATCTATCTATCTATCTATCTATCCATCCATCCGTCTCCACCAGAAATGCTAGGTTAAAAAAAACGGTAATTGAACTGAAATTGTTCTGTCGCTTTTTTTGATTGTCTTCCTTTTCTTTCAGGAAACTCCAAAACCCTTAAATAGAGAAAATATAAACTATAATGGACATATTCCACTGTAGTTAATTTAATCATGTATTTTATAGCGCATAGTATGTGCGTCACGAGTTTACAGAAATAAAAGAAAAAGTGCTGTCTGCTGTTTCAACATCTCACGTAAGTACCCCACCCCCACCCATGTGCGCTTGAAAAATGAGACGCGAACGTTAACATCTCGCGAGGTCACGCGTAGCAGGAACCCACCCTTCAGTGATGCGGACCGCAGTGTGTGTATATTACTGGCGAGGGAGCCGCTAGGAAGCTAGGAGGAGTTGCGGCAAGGTCGACAACAGCATCCTGCTCTGAATTACAGGAAGACATTAGTTCGACGGACCTAAGTTTGGGAGGGGGGACGAAAATTACCGCCTTTACGGCTGCGAAAGAAAAAGTCAGTAGGTGGCTTCAAGTTTCCATCTTGTAGCCACACGTTTGTCACAGACGAAGAATTGTGGGTTGTTACCGCGGTCCATACGGCTTTCGAGGCGCGTTTCCCCCTCCTGCTAAACACTTAAGAGAACGGCACAGTTCTGCTCTTCACGGACCAATTTGTTATAGAATTGCTTTGAGGGCCTAACGCGCTTTTTCGTATACGGTTTATCTGTTAGTTTGTATCGAGTGTGCCATGTCGGCGCCATCAAGCACAGCTCTCGCTCCGAAAGAGAACGCCCCGGCGGAAAATGATTTTTTAGCCCCCGACGCGGGGCAGAAGCCGCCCGGCCCGACGCATAGTCAGAGCCGTTTCCAGGTGGACCTTGTGGCCGAGGCAGCTGCCGCAGTGGGAGACGAGTCGCCGAGTTCCGAAGCTTCGACCACTGTCCCGTCCAGCGATAAGGCCACTCTTGGTGCTCCTCCTGAATACCCGGGGACAAGCGGGGAGGAAGCGAAAGGACGTTTTCGGGTAGTGAACTTTATAGACCCAAGCGGGGCTGGGAGTCCGGCTTCCCCAGAGTCAACGCCTGTCGAGGGGATGCAGAATGGGGACACCGTGATGAGCGAGACGAGTCTACATTCATCGACTGGCGGCCAGCATCACTATCACTATGACACCCACACGAACACCTATTACCTGAGGACTTTTGGCCATAACACCATCGATGCCGTGCCCAACATCGATTTCTACCGCCAGACAGCCGCACCTTTGGGGGAGAAGCTTATAAGACCCACCCTGTCGGAGTTGCATGACGAGCTGGACAAGGTAAGACAGCCCATGGGTCCAGTATACAACATTTATCTCCTAATAACGCCGTCCTTTTGGGTTGAAACCAACACACTGCACTTACATCTTTTCTGTATAAATGCAGTAACTTGTATTTTCAAATTCACGTTCAGTCACTGACTTTACTTAATTCACATGTTGTGCTCAGATATTGTCACATGGACACAAAGAAGTAAGCATTTGACAATTTTATTGTTACAAATGCGGGACTGCATGGTCAATTTTAAATGAAAAATTGAAGTCCTGAACTGACAAAGGATCATTGCAGACATTGCGAATTGTTGAAATATTTATTTTAACAAAAGATTTTTTTCCCATTATTGCCCAGCCCTTATATGCGTGTGTGTGTGTGTGTGTGTGTGTGTGTGTGTGTGTGTGTGTGTGTGTGTGTGTGTGATAACGGAATAATTATCCCTTCAATCAAGTATTCGTGTTTTTCAAAACTTTTGGGGATGACTTTTCTACATTCTACAACATGTAGTCAGGCCCAGCAATAATTTTTAGTGGGTAGATAACACCTGCATCATAGTTTCTGTTGAGTTATGCTTACCAGTCCAGGCCTCACAAATTAGTTAAAAAAAAAAACTAGAATAGGAAAACTTTTGTTTTTGAATTAGCTCTACTAGCATAGCATGCTATTCATATAAAGAACAAGTTTGTTATCTTCTGTTAATCTAAATTCTGTCCCTGAGGCAATTTTGGCAACGACTAAACTGACTTTCTAAGGAGCATGTGCTGAATGATGACAGAGAGCTCCTTCAAGTCACAATAAATACCTTTTAATTAAAATTATAACAATTTCTACCAGAGCGTGTTGACCTGGACTGGTTTAATTGCCCTTGACTCGCCTTTAAATGTCAAGGATAAAGTTTGGCGAACTTCAAAGTTACTGTCCTCATGATGAATTTCAACCGCTTCACAGAGAGCTATTCTCAGGGCTTTACTGTAAACATCTAGGCTATGAATAGATGACATTCATGCAATACAATGAAGTTAATTTGAGGTGCAACAGTTAATGACAACTAATCAATTATCATATTCATTGCTAATTATTTTTAATAGTCGATTACTGTAATCTCTTAGATTTAAAAAAAAAAATCTCCAAATCCTTTGAATTTCAGCATCTCAGCACAAAATATTCTCTGATTTCTGTTGTCCTCCATGACCGCAGACCAATTTTCTTTGTGTTTAGTCAAAAGAAAACATCTGCTTTTACTTTGGAAAACAACGCTAAACATTTTTACCAGACAAACAATTAACTGACTCATAATTAATTCATTTTCTGCACTCTTAGTTTGAAATATGTCCTGTTTTTGAATTGATGGGTGAATTTTTTTCAATCAGACTTATTGATAAATTGAAAAAATAATCAATGGATTAATTGTTTATTAAAATAATCGTAAGCTGCAGCCAGGAATGTTTGATACCGTTTTTTGTTTTTTTTTTTCAGACCGATACCACCACTCAACTCTTGAGTAGTCACCAAAAGTACCGATACGACTATTTCGCTACATATTTTTTAATTCAACCAATTGCATATCATTTTCAAGAATATCCATCCATTCGTTATCCAAACCGCTTGTCCTCACGAGGGTCATGCTGCAGCCTATCCCAACTGTCTTTAGGCAGTAGGCAGGCTACGCCTTGAACTGGTTGCGAGTCAATCGTGTGGCACATATAGACAAACAACCATTCGCACTCACAATCACAGGGACAATTTAGAATGTTCAATTAACCTCACGCGCATGTTTTTGGAATGTAGGAGGAATATATTATATTTTGGATAAAACCAACAATAAAATCAATTTAAATACATAAAATGAAACACAGAAAAAGTCCCAATCAAAACATGTGGTTGTACAACTTCTTTACAAGGGATACAGTGAAGTGGAAAGAATGAAAGTGAATACAACGGTGTTCAAATAACATTTTGAAATACCTTCAACCACAAGTGTGCCATTTTGTTCTGAGGCACAGTAAAATTCAACTGTGGTGTCTCACTCTAAACACCGGGTGGGACCCACGTAATGGCAAACTGGACTTTGACAGAAGAACAAGTCTGACATCATGCACTGTCTATTGAGCTGTAAAAAATGCGTGCGTAATCACGATTAATTTTTAGTGAATTTGAGTTAATTATGACAGTTGCATTTTTAATTAGATTAAATATTTTAATCGTTTGTATATATATATATATATATATATATATATATGACTGATTGCTGAGAATGCTGTCCACTGACCAAACCCGAATCTCCGGCACAGGCTCAGATAGCTTCCTCCTATTGTGAAATTCTTTGCGGGAATCAAAGATTTCCATATGCACTTATCACTAGCGCAACAAAGCCAGATGCTAATGTGAACATTAGTGACTCATTATTCTATCACTTCAGTGATCAGCAAGCGATTGTCTTGTGAAAAAAGCATGAGCGCTGCAACTGCGGTGGTAAGTACCAGCCCAGTTTAGCTCTGTGACATTGGTGGCAGCACCGTTCCCATTGAAGGCAATTCATGTGGCTTTACAATCATTCGTAACTTGCTCATTTCTCAACAAACTGTCAAGAAGCTTACGTACTTTTCAACACCAAAGCGTGCGCAGTAGAGAAAATGCATTTTGATTTTTTTTTTTTTTTACGCCCCCTAACATGCAACGTAGCGGCACTTTCCCCATATGAGCTTCAATGTCACCGCAGATTCAATGATGGTAAAGGCATTCGGTTCCCAGAATGCATTGCATGGCGCATGACATTTCATTATTAAAGTTATTAGGACGTTAATTATATGTGTGTTTGTGTTAGTAGTAGTTGAATGTGCGTCATATGTAAATGTCACATTTGCATAGGTGTTGTACTGTTTTTATTTATTTATTATTCTGGGTGCTTTTTAAAATGTTATTAATTTTTTTAGCCCCTGAGGCCATGTGTGTAAAATAGCGATATCAAACTCTAACTAAGCAATAATATCGACCTTATATGAGAGTGATGATGAATACGCAAATTCAGTCAGTCAGTCATGCATGCTTTAAAGTTCCTACATAGTAAAATGTCAGCAAGAGGGTGGCCGACACTGGTATTGGAAAACGTTGGGAGTACGCGATACCTTAAAATAAGTCGAGTGTTGGCCTGATACTGATACCTGGTATCGGTACTCGCCCATCCCTTTTTCCAACCCTAATGTTAACTCTAAAGTGTTAGAAATTAGAAGTGCTTCTGTTTGATGTATGTCGAGCAGATACTCATCACCCTGCCAAATAGCTGTTTAATTACTAGGTTAGAGGAGGGGAAAAAATAACTCTAGTTTTACATGTAAATTTTCTAATTAGTTGTTTTACATTGATCACATAAAGGTGTTCTTGTGGTCTTTTAAAATCATACCAAACCAAACACAGATATAAGTACTGCAAAGCCCCATTCAGTAAATGGATGACCGTATTTTCTGCACTAAAAGGCGCACTGGATTATGAGGCGCACCTTCAATGAATGGGCTATTTTGTCATTTTTTTCATATATTGGACGCACTGGATTATAAGAGGCAGTAAACAATGCATCCACTAGATGGAACTATACTCCTTCCGTTCGACTCAAGAGGCGTTCATGTCCGCCTCCGAAAAACGTAAATTAATGATTACTTCAATGAAACTAGGAAAATTGAAAATAATGCATCAAAACAGAAAATCAAGCGAGGAAATCACAAAATAAATTCGATAGCCCCCCCCCCCTACAGAATTTAATTTGACATTTCCTTGAGCCTAGCTCCATCAGAATGATCAGATGTCTGTAAAATGTAGGAGACTGGACTGTCTCATAAATGTTTGTTATTTATTCCTTTGTTGTGTACTGTATTCACAAACGAGGAAATCACAAAATAAATAAATATCAAGGTAAATGGATGTTTGTGATTGCTCAAAATCTAAGAAATCGTATTAGTCCCAAAAGATAGTTATGATCAGGGGTGCACATAAATATTTTGGGCGTGGTTCTTAAATGAGCACCAGAGGTTGTGGTTTGGTGCTCCTTTTTTTTTTTTTCGCTGACCCACCAACCTCATGGATGAATTTAAGACTTGCGGCGCATCTGGACAGTGTTTATCGTGAATATGTGATGATACATCATTTTATTATTAAACGGAAGACATTCTTTTCCAAGGTTTTTTTTTCTCCCTTCAGTTTAAAGTTTTTATTTTGTAATTACAGCAACATGTAGGCTACCAGTTCTACAGAGTGACAGCTTTTTAAAGGCACACTTTGGGTTGAACACTGATGATGAGCACTGATGTAATCTGTCTGTGTGTAAAAATGATGTCAGCACTAAAATTCACCCCCTGAAAAGCTCTGTAGTGATTTTAATTTATTTTTCAACTTTAAGCACAAAGTGGTCATGCCCTAAAAATGGGAGGGGACTGCTTGTTTGACACATCAGCCAGAAGATGTCATTGAAGTAAGGAGGCATTGTAATATTGTTTCCTGGCTTGGTTTGTCATGCACTGAATGTCTCACAATGGTGATCGCCACCAAAATTCATATGCACGTTCCTACTCTTGTCCACTTCAACTTGTGAAAATGTAAAGGTGATCGGCCCAATATTTTGGATTTTATTGACATTAAGTGTGAATTCCAATAAGGAAAAAACAAACTATAACCTCCACAAAATCGAAAATAAGTATGAATGTGCAAATGAATTTTGGTGGCAATTTGTTCGTAGTCTTCAGACATGCTCCCATATGCATATATAAAAGATCCACTATCTAATAAAGGGTTTGAAGCAAACAAAATTACCACATACCGTATTTTCACGACCATACGACACGCTATATTAAAACTCATCGTGTCAGTTACAGGTGCTATTTCTGTATTTAACACATACACAAGGCGCATTGTATCATTGGACGCCGCCATGGTAAAACGTACACTAGCTTCAAAAATACGGTAGCACGCATGCACGCTAGCGTATGCTTTTGAAAAGGAGCAAAACTGAGTTCGG